AAAATTCCATCTTAGAAATAAAATTCTGCACAAATATTTGGGCCACAATTTGGTAATAGTATAAGAAGTTCCTCAAATTATCCTTTTTTTATGACATGGGCTTCTTAGAGGTTAATTAGTTCAAATCTCAAGGCAAAATCCTGAGGGTCTAATAGAAACAGAATAAGCTCACACTCTGAAGTAAAATTTAGGTAAACAAGCATGTAGGTCCAAAGGTGTTTTTTTTATCTGGGGCACCCAGTTCAGTACTAATTATCCCCACTTTTAGCTATAATTTGTCAAATGTATTTTAAGTTCAGAAGGGAATAGGCATGTCAATAATGAGTAAAAATTACTGATCTTGTTGCCTTTCCAGATTTTTCTTCATTGTTCAACTCATAGCTATAAGCTTTCTGTTCGTGAGGGACATTTATTTTCTATCTGTGTTAAAAATCTCATATAACATATGCAAAGTTTAAGAATGATTATCTAGCTTTAAATATCCAGAAGTTCCACAAGAATACTGAAGAACATTTAACAGAGGTACTCACAAGAGGATGTAAATCAATACAGTATTGTGTAAGCTGAACCTATGATCATTTTAAGGATGAGAGCACCCATAATCAGGATGCACTGAGTGGTAACATCCAACTTTAGAACCTATCTACTAATTTATGCATTCATTCATTCATTCAGCAAAGATACACACACACACACAAGTATATATGAGACACTCCCTTTATGCATCTTAACATTCTATTGAGGGAGAAAGAAAAATAGACAAATAAAAATAAGACCTATAAAGGAAATAAGTGAGTAGTGACAGAGAATAACATGGGGAATAGATAAAATGGCCAGTGAAATTCTCTTTGGGAAGTTGATAGTTAAGCTAAGCTTTTAAGGATGAATTGCAAAGCTAGCCATGTGTAGGAAAGGATATGTCAGGGAAGTTTTATGTAATAAATCACTCTAAAATTTAGTTGCTTTAAAAGAATACCTTCATCTACTTACACTTTTCTGAGTTGGCAATTTGGGCTGGGTTCAGTGATAACGTATCTCTCTCTGTTCCATGTAGGGTCATCTGGGCTCACTTGTACATTTGTAGTCAGCTAACAATTATTGGCTCACACATGTACATGGTGGTTGGCTTGTTATCAGCAGTCACAATGGAGGTAATTGGACCATGTGTCACTTATCATCCAGCAGGCCTGCCTAGCCTTATTTTCATGGTAATGGACTCAGAGTTACCAAGAACAGCAAGGGAGGGCCATTCCCAATGCATAAGCATTTTTGAAATCGGATTGTATCATGTTTGTTAATGACCCATTGGCCAAAGCAAGTCACATGGCAGATCCGAAAGTCAGAGGATGAAAAAATAATCTCTCCATCTTGATGAAATGCATAGGGGCATGTACATACAAAGAGGAAGAATTTTATCTATTAATATTTTGTAATCCACCACATGCAGTAAGAGCTTTTTAGGAAGACAAAAGCATTATGTCTCAAGAACCTAAGGCAGGAAAGTATTTGGTGTGTGTGTTGAGCTGGAAGATGATCAATGAATGGAAAGTAGCTCAATAGGGGGGGTAACAAGGTAGGCTGGACCTTACAGTGTCCTGTAGATCATTGTAAGGAGTCTGATCTTTTCAAGTGTAAAAAGAAACCATTAAGCAAATGGGAAAGAAGAGATCCTGGTCTACCTAGGAAATGCTGCTGAGAGATTGAGGAAGATTGGTCAGGAAAGTATCTTGGATTTGGCTATAGCAGAGGTTGTTAGTGACTTGTATAAGAGCAGTTTCTGTTGTTCTCTATGAACAACAGAAGCCATGTTAAAGTGAGTTGAAGAGTGGATAGGAGGTAAGGAAGCAGAAATCATATGTAATATGGTCAAGTCTCTTGTGAAGTTTTGCTATGAAATGGAAGAGAAGAATGTAACATGAGCTGGTAAGGTTATTTTTACATGCTTATTAATTTGTTTTGGCATAAGAGCTTGCATGTCATATATACTAATAGGAATGGGCTAGTTGAGAAAAGGAAGAGAAGTAGTAAAGAGAAAATATTGACTCAAATATAAGTAGACTTCTACCAAGAAATTAAAAAAAAAAACTTTTTAATAAACAAAGAAGTAAACCAGGCTTGTGTATTTAAAATCTCTATATTGTAAAGATTTCTAGTTATTCCTAAATTTATCTGTGGGTTCAATGCAGTTCCAATGAAAATTCCAACTTTTTAAAAAAGAACGAAGTAATTCTAAATTTTAAATAGTCGTGGAAAAGCCAAGAATAGCCAAGACACTATTGAAGAATAATAATATGAAGGGACTTCCAGATATTGAGGCTTATTGTAAAGCTACAAGAGATTGTGATTATGACATAGGAATAGATAGTAAATTAATGGAACAATAAAAATCCCAGATGCAGACCCATGCATGTATGGTCTCTTAATGACAAAGTGGCACTTCAAAGCAATGTAGGAAAGGAAAGTCTTTGCAATAAATAACTGGGCCAATTAATAACTATAAAAAATAAAAATTAAATTTACCCATAAGGTATACCATATATGAAAGTCAGTTTCAGGGGAATCATAGGATTATGAAATATCATGAAATGCAAAATAGTGCTATATTAATGACCTTTGGAAAGGGTAAGAGTTTTTAAATAAGACACAAAAAGTAGTAACTATGAAGAAAAAATGTGAATATATAAACTGCTTTAAAATTAAGAACTTCATTTTATCAAAGCACATCATGAAAAAAGTGAAAAAGCAAATAAGAGAAAAGGAAAAAAATATAACACATCTAACCAATAATAACAAATAACTAGATTAAGTAAAAATGCCTACATGTCTATAAGAAAAATCAGACAACCCAATTAAAAATAAAGTCCTCCCCAAGAGAGCAATTCCCAACAGGTGGCAGAAAGAAGATGGCAGAGGAGAAGCAAATCCATCTGGAAAAATCAAATAATAGTTTATTCAGCAGTCAAAAGTCCTCCTTTATGGGTGCTGCTGTAACAAAAGTACCACAGACTGGGTAATTTATAGGAACGGAAATTCATTTCTTACAGTTCTGGAGCCTGAGAAGTCCAAGTCAGGGCCCTAAGAGGTTTGGAATATAGTAAAGGCCCAGTCTCTACTTCCAAGTTGGCACCTTGAACACGGCTTCCTTGGAGTGGACAAAGGCCATGTCCTTACATGGTGGAAGAGCAAAACAGATGAAGGCTGTTCCTTCCAGCCCTTGTATAAGTTGCTTATATAACACTGTGCCCTCATGATTTAATCACCCTCTAAAAGTATCACTTCTTAATACTGTTTGGCTGGGGGTTAAATTGTAACGTAAATTTTGGAGGGGACACAAACATTCAAACCATAGCAGAAGGTTTTTCTGTGTTCTCAAAGTTCTGTTGCCTCATTTATATAACTTTTACATTTCATGTAACTTACAAATATTTATTAAACTCAAGGCTTCTTCAAATATTAATCACTGATCTCCATTTTTATAAACATCAAAGTGAGGAGGAAAGAAATACATCCTGTAGACTCCCATTATGTCTCACTGGACTGAGTCCAGGCCTGGTTTGAGGAAAATGTTCAAGACTTTAGCATAACTACAGAGCCTGTGGGGAAGCAGGAGAAGGGAAGTGAGGAGGAGTATCGCATAGCTAACATTTATTGAATATTTACTACATGCCAGGTACTGTACTAAACACTTGGATTACCTCATTCCATTCTTATAACTACTGCACAGATGAGGAAATTGTGAGGTTGAATAGCAGGAATTCTGCTAACAGACTTTGTGCTACTAACCTCTGAGCTTCCCAGTTCCTAACTATAGTAAGTCCTCAAAGTTCTCACCAATAGTTTCTTGGAAACTATGACTTTAAGCGAAATGACATATAATGAAACCATAGGCTAATTAATAATTCCCGTGGCCTATTTCTAGTCACAAAAACATCACCAAACTTCTAAATAACACTTCTGATATTAAACATTAAAATAAATGACAGCTGTATACACATTTTAAAAAGATTAATAAAAACACGATAATTATTCACCCATTTATTCCAGGTAAGGATGGGGAATGGCTGGAGCCTCTCCCTGCAGCTCTGGACAAGACACCATCCCATCACAGGGATGGTGTCTTGTCCAGACAAGGGTGTGAGTGTCTGGACACCCACTCAGAGTGGGATCGTGTGGACACACCAATTTATCTAACAGGCATATCTTGGGATGTGGGAGGAAGCCGGAGTACCCGGAAGAAAACCACGTAGACATGGGGAGAACATGCAAGCTCCACACAGACCGTGGCCCCAGCTAGGAGGCGATTTTTTTCTCATCAACATTATAACGACATGGCATTGAATAAAATTATGTTATTCGAGGACCTGCTGTACCTTTTCTTTAATGCTTCCATTTGGAGAGTGAAGAGGCTTATCAGGCTTCCCAGCTGCATGGCTAAGCCCATAGTTACCCCAGGTTTCTTCACCATGCCTACCTCCTAACAACTCTAGGCTTTGCATCTTTCTTGGCTTTGAGGTCCTGGAAGCTGCAAAGTATAGAGGAGAGAATGCTTCATGCACAGTATGAGGATAAGGTATGACGGCCTCCTGCTTTTACTTATCATGTGTAGATGCCAGTATTAAGGCTCTGTAACTTGGTGACAATCAGTTTATTAGCTGTAGTAGAGGTGAAACAGAAGAAGAATCTATATTCCTGCGACTGGTACACCTAACACTTAAATAGCACTGGTTAAGTGGAGACACAGGCATACTTAATATGCTTTGGTATATTTTAGCATTTAGCAATATGTAAAAATACTAAAAAGAATAAATAGACTTTTGGGTTTTTCATGTATTTTTCAGTTTCTTCTCACTTTGAAAGGCAGCATTTCTGTCACTATGTCACAGAAAAAAATGATATATGCTTCTCATAACTATTTTCATTCATTTTAACAAAATCTAAAGTCAATCTCAAGGAAACCAATCTCATACTGAACTAAGAAAAATTGTTTTTATGTTTTGCAGACTTTGAATAATGAGATGAGTACAGATGATGACAATGAATATGCAGAAGAAAAGGATAGCTACATCTGTGCAGTGTGTTTGGATGTTTATTTCAACCCTTACATGTGTTACCCTTGCCACCACATCTTCTGTGAGCCCTGCTTACGGACTCTGGCCAAAGACAATCCTGCAAGCACTCCTTGCCCATTATGTCGGACAATTATTTCTAGAGTCTTTTTCCAGACAGGTAACTGTTCTCTTTCACTAACATGATTGTCTGATTATTCTGACTGCCTCTTTGTTCTAGTTCTAAGATACTTTATAAATTATAAAAAAGTTATTGAAAATCATATACAGCATAATTTGTTAGACTCCACTTTATCAAACAGTGCTTATATACCTGAAAACTGTTAAAATCATAGAATTATAGATGAGAATAAATCCTCATCTCTAATCTCCTACTATACACTCAGATCCTGTCTAAAACATCATAACTAGTTGTTGTACAGTCTTTACTTGAACATCTCCATTGTCAAGGAAATTCCATTTGAGGTATTGATTATTTATTCCTCACATCTGCCTTCTACTACTACTCATTTTTCAGTCCTTGTTATTTTCTCTGGAGTCACAGAGAATAGATCTGTAAATGTCTGAGGACAATTATTACATCTTACCCCCAGCCTCCAAATCTGAATTTTCTTAATGTTTTTGACGTCTTTCTTTTTAAACAAGAAAAAAGTAAAATTGAGCAAGGATTTGTTGGCTTAATTGTCATACAAAGATGGCATATAACACAATATTTAAAACATTAATGGAGACATTAAAAACTAATGAATGTGGAACATAGAGAACTAAGGAAAAGGGGTAGAATGATGGAGTGCGCTACTGTATGCTAAATGTTAGAGGGAAATTTCCTATCTTCACATTCTCATCTCAGCCATAGAGTAGCCAAATGAGAATTCAAAGTGTGAACTTCATTGGTAGTAAAACTGTATAGGGTACACAGCACATTTTCCTTCTCTGAAAGAAATCCAAGGACCTACCTGCATGGAAGAATCAGATTATTAAAGTAAGCTTTGAGTGTTCTAACCTAACCAGCTGCATGAAGACTTGCAAACTACCTTACAGGCTCAGTAATCAAGTGATGAAGAGAATGACACCTCTCTGATCTGCCTAGTGCATGTAGACTACCACACAAAATCACTGCACTGAGCTTAGGCAGATCAAGAGAGAAAAGGACATGCCGAACACAGTTGTAATTCTACCCAGTACAGGAATGTGGTCAGGACACCAGGCTGTCATCAGTCTCACCAGGCACTTCAGTTATTCCTCCTTTCCCGAGCAAGTAAAGGGTGGAGAACGGAAAGGAAGCACTTCCATGAGAAGGCAGAAGCTTATTAGACACTATTCTGTTCTGGCCTATGGCTAGACATTGAAGTAGGAGACAAAGGTTCTTTTCTAATACCAGATCCCTTGTTGAGGTGACCAAAAGGAGGAGCACCAATGACACTTCTTTTTCAGTGTGATCTCTGGTCAGCTCTGCAAGCAAACATTTCCTAAAAGCTTACTTTGATAGGTAGCACCGAGGTGGTAGACATGGTGCTTTAACAGATGCTGTCCCTGACTTCTGTGATCTTTTTTAACAATGGTCGGGATTATAAAATTTATTTCCATCACATTTTATGATTCAAGTCTCTCTTGGTTCATTTATCAAAACAACAATTTCATATTTTCCTTTATTTTAAAAATGAATGCTTCTAAAATCATACTGGGAATACTTATAGTCTCTTCCAGTATAGACTATATTTGGGTGTATACTGTCATTTAGAGACTCATAATAAAAATGGAAATATCCTACTTAATTATTTATACCCTTGGCTGGGCACAGTGGCTCACACCTATAATTCCAGCACTTTGGGAGACCAAAGCAGGAGGATTGCTTGAGGCCAGGAGGTTGAGACCAGCCAGGACAACATAGCAAGACCCCATCTCTACACAAAAATAAAAATTAGCTAGGCATGGTGGAGTGCATCTGTAATCCTAGCTACTCGGGAGACTGAGGCAGGAGGATGGCTAATGCCCAGAAGTTCAAGGCTACAGTGAATTGTGATGTGCCACTGCACCTCCAGCCTGGGTGACAGAGACTCTGTCTATAAATTAATGAATTAAAATTTATACCCTCGAAAGGATTTGAGATAATTTATAGAATACATATAATGAAATAGTAGGACAGGGAATTATAAATTGAAATGGAATATAAAGACCAGGTGAGGGTAGAAGGATAGATATATAAGCCACATGGCCCTACATAGGAACTAAATCAAATGAAGTATTTGGTTTCAAATGTTCTAACTGCCTACAGAGAAGTTTCTGTAGAGCCGACGTGGGTTCCACAGGGATGATTAAGCCAGAACACCTGGAAACAGCTGCCTCCTTCTGACAGAGCACCTATCACACCCTTTCATGGAGTGTGGAGCTCACTCCTTTCCCTTTAGAAAGCTATAACAAGAGCTCCACTGAGGAAAGGTAGGACTAGCAGGTCTCTCCCTGAGCTGTCTAACTCTTCTAGGAGGAACCTACCCTTCCTGGAGGTGAGTCCCTGGCAAAACTACACTTCCCCTGCCAGGGCATTTCAGCAACCCTCAGCCATTCTGGAAGCCTAGCATGCAGAGGTCCAAGCTTCCTCTGCCACCTTTGCCACAGCCAGGCCAGGAAGGAAGTTGGGAACCCAGGTGTTTTTGTATGCCAAGAATAATAACTACCACCTCTGCTTAAGGAGGGCATAGTGAGCCATCCTCTCCCCTCCTGGAGCTGTCTCTTCTGGAGGAGCCTACCCTCCCCTGGAGGCAAGTCCCTAGCACAACTGCCCCTCCCCTGCAGGAGCACTTAAGCAATAGTCCCCAGCCATTCCAGGAACCCAGTACATAGAGGTTTGAACTTTTCTGACACCTCTCCCATGGCCAGGCCAGGAAGAGAGCTGGGAATCCAGATACTTTGGGGCATCCCAAGAACAAAAACTACCACCTCTGCTGAGGGAGAAAGGTATGAGTGGTTTGTAGACCCCACAGTTGCCTGCCTTTGCTAATCTCATCAAGTGAGAGCCGCCTGTCCTATGACAGGCTCACAGTGCATCCCACCCTTCTCCTGCCTGAGCATTCTTCCTGACTGGGAGATCATCCTACCCCTCTCTATCACAACCAGCAGGTGAACTCAGGGAGGTTTGAGGTTTGAGCCCAGCCTCAGGCTTGTCACCCAGGCACACCATCCAGAGGCCTGGGGACCAGGGATTACCTAACCTAGTCCACCACCAATGGCACCTGAACACTCTCCCAGGGTTCTGAGGTCCAACCCACCCAAATTTCCAGCAACACTACAATGGGTTCTTCTTGCACAAGCCAAATAATTCCCTGTCCTGGTATTTCATTATATGTATTCTATAAATTATCTCAAATCTTTTTGAGGGTATAAATTTTAATTAGTTAATTAATTTATAGACAGGGTCTCAGTCTGTCACCCAGGCTGGAGGTATAGTAGCACATCACAATTCACTGTAGCCTTGAACTTCTGGGCATTAGCCATCCTCCTGCCTCAGCCTCCCGAATAGCTTGTGTACCTCTCTCTCTTTACACTGAGCGGCAAGAGTTCCCGGAAGAGGAGAACAGGTGAACTGCAAAGCTGTCTGTTTTGAGCTGAGGGAAGCAGTTCCAGATGAGAAAGAACCAGCATGGTAACTCTGGCAATATGAAAAATAATGGGCTATTTCAACACCCCCAAAGGATCCCACTAGCTCTCCAGCAATGGACTCCAACCAAAAGGAAATTTTTGAAATGTCAGATATAGAATTCAAAATATAGATTACAAGCAAGCTCAATGAGATCGATGAGAAAGCTGAAAACCAACACAAAGTAACCAAATGATGATGATGATGAAAAAATTCACTAAAGAGATTATTTTTAAAGTAATGAAACTGCTTGAAATGAAAGAGTCATTTAGGGAATGGGGTTGGCTACCTGTTGCCTCAAGGCCAAATGTAGCCCTCCAGATCCCCAAGTGCAGCCCCTCGATAAAATCCAAACTTTCACAGAACAAATCCCTTTATTAAAAGCATTTGTTCTGTAAAATTTGGATTCAGTCAAAAGGCCGCAACTCAAGGATCCAGAAAGCCCACATATAGCCCCAAGGCCACAGGTTCCCCACCCCTGTAGGACTTTTGAATGAACCCAGACAGCCAAAAATAAAGAAAAAACAATCAAAAGCAATGAACAAAATCTTAGAGAAATATGAGAATATGTAAAACATCTAAACATAAGAATGATAGATATCTCTGATGGAGAAGAAAAAGCAAAAAGCATGGTAACTGTATTTGAGGTGATAATGGAGGAGAATTTCCCTGACCTTGCCAGATATTTAGACATCTAGGTATAAGAAGCTCAATGAACTCCTAGAAAGTTCATTGCAAAAAGGCATCACCAAGGCATATAGTCATCAGAGTAGGCAAAGTTAATGTGAAGGTGAAAATCCTATAAGCTATGATGAAAACATCAAGTAACTTACAAAGGAAAACCCATCAGACTCTTGGCAGATTTCTAAGGAGAAACTTTACAACCAAAAGGGATTGGGGTCCAATATTTAGTATTCATCAAAAGAATAACAGCCAGCTAAGAATTTTGTATCCTATAAAACTAAGTTTCATAAATAAAGGATAAATAAAGTATTTCCCAGACAAGCAAATGCTAAGGGAATCTGTGACAACCACACCAGCCTTTCAAGAAATGCTCAAATTCCCAGTGAGACTCTGTCTCAAACCCAAAAAAAAAAAAAAAAAAAGAAATGCTCAAAGGAGTTTTAAGCATCAAAATGATAGGTCAGTACTTGTCAGTATAAAAACACCCCAATGTTTAAAAAAGAAAAAACTCACAGCTTTTATCATACAGTAGCACAAGGGAGAATACAAATTAACCAAATAACACAATGTCTGGACAGTATCTCACATATCAATTTTAACATTATATATAAATGGTCTAATTGTCCCACTTAAAAGATATAAATTGGTAGAATGAATGAAAAAACACAGCCAAAATATCTGGTGTTTTGAAGAGACCCACATAACCACAAAGATTCTCATAGACTCAAGGTAAAGGAGTGGAAGAACATATTCTAAGCAAATGCATACCAAAAACAAGGATAATAGCTATATTAATATCAGAAAAAAAACAAACCTCTATGGGAAGTAGTATGGAGATACCT